AATCTCATTTTGTATGTTGTAATGATGTACAGTGAATGAATGCAAATAAATAAATAGAAAAAAAAATATTGTAAACTTTCACTCCCCCAAGGTGACCAAGAACAGAGCCAGCCCAAGGAGACTCAGATAGAAACAGAAATGTGTTAGCTACATCTTAAGCTATATCTTATTTTTTTTTTTTTTGAGAGAAATTTTTACTATAGGGTGCTTGTGCTTGCCAGAGAGACAGACAGAAAGCAAAAAATCCACCCTCCAGGGAGATGGCCGCCTTGCAATCTCTTCTCCTCCACACTCCTCTTGGAATCCTGGGCATTCACACACACACGCCCGGCATGAGTTTTGAGCCACCAGGTCTGGGATTCGAACTGCAGTCAACCACGTGGAAGCCCAGCAATGTAACCATTCGCCATCTGCTGGTCCCAGCTGCCTTTTTTCTTTACATAAAAATTATATCATAGGTTTCTCTAGAAACTGTAAACAAAGACTACACTCAAGTGTCCCTGGTTGAGGCCATGGTAGTTAAGATGCTGGACTCCCACATGGCCAACTGCATCAGAGTCCCCTACCTAGCAGCTCGAATATCACCCTGTGTGGCCAAAATCCCAAGAGGAGAATGGAGGGGAATGGATTGCACTGTGCCCATCCCTGGAGGGGAAGGTGATTTCTCAGATTCCCTGTCTCTCTCTGGAGGGAATGTACATTTTTAAAATATATATGTGAAGTCTTTCTACAATCATATGTAAAAGTAAAGGGGTACATTAACTTTCAGGAAGGCTTTCTTATTCCAAGCTTTCATAAATTTATTTCTAAGTTCTTACCATGTAACACAAGACAAAACTGAGGTATATTCAAGATATAACAGTGGTCTATGGGACCAGAAGTCAGCGTAATGGCTATGTTGTTGGACTCTCACATAGTTGACCATGGTTCGAGTCCTGGACCTGGTGGCTTAAACTCACGCTGGGTGCGTGTGCAAGTGTACCCAAGATCCTGAGAGGATAATGGAGGAGAAAAGATTGTGGCATGGCCATGCCCCCGAGGTGTGATTTCTTGCTTTCATCTCTCTGTCTTTCTGACGAGCAAAAACCTCTCCAAAAAACAGTGGTTTATTAAAGAGAGTAATTGTGGAAGAGAGAGAAATAATGGAAGGCTTTATGGAGGAGGTGGCATTTGAGCCAGGACTGCCACCAGAATGGCAATGTCAAGGCAAGGAGTGAGGACAGAGAGGAGCACCACTCTCCATCCTGCACCCCTGCTGCTTCTCTGCAGGAGGCACCTTCTCCTCTGGTGAAATTCTGCTTCTCCCTGGGACCCACCTGGAAACCTCCTCCATCCCTGCCAGCAGAGTCTGTCAATAGTACCTTGTCCTCCCCACTCCCACGCTCTTAAAGGTCCCTGCCCCCCTCCCCTTAGCAGTGGGCCACAATCTACAGTAAATGCCATTTCAGGGTGAGAAAACCAGGCCTCAGAAAGTTCCCTGAGCTGGGAACCAGCAGTTAGCATAATGGCTATGTCGCTGGACTCCCACGTAGTCAACTGAGGTTCGCGTCCTGGACCCGGTGGCTTAAAACTCACGCCGGGCGTGTGCGTGTGCGTGTGCGTGTGTGTGTGTGTGCCCAAGATCCCGAGAGGAGAATGGAGGAGAAG